TTGTATAATAATTATAGTAATTTAGATAAATATTGATTAATTTAGATTAATTGTTAGATAATTTGCATAAAGTCACAGAACTGCTGTATATTGGAGCTGGGATTCACCTTCAGCTAACTTCCAAATGTAATGTGCTTTTGCTTCTCAGTTGGATGAGATTTGTAAATTGAGATTGACCCTAAGGGGTAAGAGAACCGAAACTAAAAGGATAAATACTTCGGTTCTATAATGTTAAAATAGAATTCTTGCTGGGCGCAGTAGTGCTTGCATGTAATGTAGCAGCGTCAGAGGCTGAAGCCTGAGGATCACAGGTTTGAGGCCAGCCTTAGCAATTTAGCAAGGCCCTAAGCAACTTAGTGAGAACCTGTCTATAAATAAATTTTATTTTTTTATTTTTTTGAGAAACCTTGTAAGTTTCTTTTTTTTTTTTCCCCTTCTTTTTAGTTTTCGGCAGACACAACATCTTTCTTTGTGGTGGTGCTGAGGATTGAACCCGGGCCACACTCATGCCAGGCGAGCACGCTACCGCTTGAGCCACATTCCCAGCCCTATAAATAACTTTTTAAAAAAAATGTAAAAACTGGTTTCCTTTCATTTCAGAAAAGCAAAAATCAGAGGAAATTTCCCCATTTTAGAGAATCCCTTATTCTTGGTTTTCTTTTTTAAGAAATCAGTCTGTTTCTGTAAAGCTTCATCTTTTTCATACAAACATTTATTCTTTCCAACACAAACAAAAATATTTCCATGTTAATAAGGAATTTTTTGTGTGGCTTCTTTGTGCCAATATTTTATTAACTGAGGAAAACTTAATTCTTCCAGCTGCAGATGATCCTCCTCGACCTACCTTTGACTCCTTGCTTTCTCGGGACATGGCAGGATACATGCCAGCTCGAGCAGATTTCATTGAGGTAGGAGAAACTTGTTGTTTTTAGCTATAAGTTAGGAAAAAATTGTTTTTGTTTCTGATAAGGCTTCTATCTGCTACCCATGCCACTGAAAGTAGATTTTCAAATCACTGTCATTTGTGGGTCCTTTATGCAGCCACACTCTTCCATTTGAGTTCCTTTTCTCATTTGTAAACATTTCTACTTATGAAACAAGAATCTACTATTGAAGTTGCATCACTGCTGGCTTTTATTTTCTTTGTAGTATGGTATTTTTACAGCCTGGTTCTCATTTCACACCTATGAGGCTTCAAGTTTGAACTAAATCAGGGCTTGAGCCTCATATTAAGGACCAGATAGTAAATATTTAAGTTTTCCATGTCATAAAGTTCTGGTTTAAATTAAACTTTGCCATTATTGGGTGAAAGTAGCATACATAATACATAAACAAATGTATACCTGTGTTCCAGTAGAATCATATGTAAAAAACCGTATAGTGGGTGGACAGTTACTTGCCTATTCCCATAACTGCATTCACCAGTATATAAAGAATGACGAGTGTATGTAAAAACCATGTTCACCATTCAGCCATGGAATTAAAATCCATGTGAATGTAGTCACAAGTGTCTTATTTATTATTGATCAACACAGTAGTGCTTCTGGAGGCAGCTTAAAAGTTTAACAAACTGCAAACAATTTTGATACCCAAGTCCACATTTTGTTCATGGCAGTGATATTGTAAACCTACACAATAGAGACTACTCTGATAATTTTTACTCATTGAATAGAATGTGAACAAATCTACATATAAGAATAATATTAACTAATTATTAATATTAATAATTAACTAACTGTGTAAGCAATATTATTAACTACATAGAGTCTTCAAAAGAATATAAAAGGTAAATAAATTAGTACAGATAGTTTTTCTTACGTAATATTTGAAGGCCTAGTCAAAGTTCAATTTTCTTGATAATGAATAGAGTATTTAAAAATTTTAGAACAGTGGATCTGGCTTCATTCCTAGACTCCTACAACTATTCTAATTTTTTGTTTTTGCTACTACCTGAAAGCTTCACAGATTTTCACCATGATTTCCTATTACTTGTGGCAGAATCCTGGCTTTTTATCACATTTAGTATTTTTTTTTACAAATAATTGTTTGTGTATTTTCTGTTTCTTCTAAAGCATGGCTACTGTAAAGGCATTATTCAAAGCTGCTGGGTTTGGGGTGGGGGGTTTCTTTTCCCCTAACAGGAGTTTGACAATTATGCAGAATGGGACTTGAGAGACATTGATTTTGTTGAAGATGACTCAGACATTTTACATGGTAACATTTTATTTTATCAAATGTTCATTGAATACAAATATGAGATGACACTTGTTTTGGACGTTGGGAATATAAGAATAAATAAAACATGCACCTTGCCCTAGTGGAATTCAAAATCTAGTGGTGGGAGCTGGGGATGTAGCTCAGTGGTTGAGTGATGGCCTAGCGTGCATGAACCCCTGGGTTCTGTCTCTAGCACTACTATGCGCGCGCGTGCACATACACACACACACACACACACCCCTTATGATTAAGTTGCTGAATGTATTCTGTTGTTGGGTTTTGACTATATCAAATACAATTTGTGATGATGGTGAAAATATTGATCATGTAAGAATAGTTGGGAATATCCCATCCCTTGGGCTGTGTGATCTTTCTTTTGACTGAGGTAAGCCTATACTGAGGTAATTGGTTAAGTAGCCCTCATTTCTCCTTAGAAGAAAGGGAAATGGTGTTTAGTCCTTGAGATTTTAGTAACTGCTGATACTGAATATTCACTATAATTTATCCCCCCAAATTGCTAATAGCAAAGAAAAAGAATGGAAAAATTTCAAGGGTTTTTAGACCAAAATTGGGAATTTCTTGCTTCTTAAAACTGTTGGAAGTTTTAGCACTTCTGAATCTTAACCTTAGATTCGATCTCTAAGTTTTTATGATAACTCTTCTGTTATAATTTAAGTGCTGAATGCCACAGAGTTACTGAAAGTGGGTAGTCAGTAGCATATAAAGCTTTGGGTTCTATTCCCAGTACTTTGCATCCTCCCCCCCAAATGGTTGAGATTTCATTGAGTCCCTTTTCCTCTCCATTTTCAGTGAACTGTGTACTTAAATAGCCCTCGATCTTCTCTTTCATTTCAGTCCAAAATTGATTATGATACAATCGATCAGTAATGCTCTGTTGGGATCTGTATTCCTCAAACAGTTTTCATTATTTCTTTTAAATCTATGTCCTAGATGGGAAAGGCAGGTAGGATACTTGTTGAATTATAAATCAACACTGTCACTAGAAGAACATGTTCTTTTCTCTGTGGAAGAGCTGCATGAGTATTTGTCTTCAAACCAGGGACCAATACAAAAATTTTACCTTTGGGCTGGGGTTGTAGCTCAGAGGTAGAGTGCTTGCCTAGCATGTGTGACACTGGATTCACTTCTCAGCAACACATATAAATAAATATATGTCCATCAACAACTAAAAATTTTTTTAAAAAAAATTATTTGAAGTTTTTATCTGTATACATTTTTTGAGCAATTTTTTTTTCTATTTTGCAGAATTTGATTCCTCTTCTTTTCTCCCACACAAGTTTAATGAAAGTCAAAGTGACGCAGATTGAACTAAAAGAGGAAAACTTGAAAGCAGACTACCTTGGCACTCATTAGATCCATTGTATTTGTTCTGTCTTTTGTGTCAATCTCTTCTTTTCAATTCCAGTGACTCATGCTGTCTTTTCTCATCTCATGGGCTGTTCCCTTTAAGGTGGTGTGCAGATTGCCATTCAATCTTTCTCTACAGACACTTTCTCTACATACATACCTTTAATTAAAAATGTATTGTTTCCTGGCTTGTATCTTTCTTATCCAAACATGAGGCTCTATATGCAAAAAGGGAAGCTTCATAAATATCATCCTTTTAGATATTAAAATTCATTGCCAGATGTGGTGGTACACATCTGTAATCCCAGTGGCTTCGCAGGCTGAGGCAGGAGGATTGTGAATTCAAAGCCAGCCTCAGCAAAAGCAAGGCGCTAAGCAACTCAGTGAGACCCTGTCTCTAAATACAATACAAAATAGGCTGGGAATGTGGCTCAATGGTCGAGTACCCCCGAGTTCAATCCCCAGTACCAAAAACAAAAAAAAACTCTTAAAAGTCAAAAATCAAAATCTCTAATGTCAATAATGGCTCAGTTATGCAGGTGACTTGCTGAATCACTTCTCTAGGCTTTAATCAAAGTCTTCATTCTTACATTTCAACATTATTAAGAAAACTAGTAGGGGCTGGGATTGTGACTTAGTTTTAAAGGGATTGAAAGGGATTGCCTAGCATGCATGAGGCACTGTGTTTGATTCTCAATACCACACATAAATAAGTGAATAAAATAAAAGTCTGTCAACAACTAAAATTTTTAAAAAGTGGGGGTGGGGGAGCTCAGTGGTAAAGCTCCACTGGGTTCAATTTCTAAAATAAAATAAAACTATAGTAGTTGTTGGCATTAGCTTTTCTCTTCATTCTTTGTAGAAGCAGGATTTTTACCTTTTTCTGATGCATTTGTGGTTCTTTCTATAATTAAGGGAAGACAAAAAGAAAAATCAAAAAGAAGCAGTTGATTAGTGATATTTAGCTTAGCTAGCTTTTCACACCTGTAACTTAAGTTATTTATGCTCTTCCTACAGTTTCAACAACCTTGTAAATCACTGATTTTCATTTGTACTAGAACAGAAGCACTAGTTTTTAGTTCTTATAAATTAAGTGACTTTAATAATAATCTTTCCCCCAGCCCAATAGTGAACTATAAAATTTTTAGATAAGTACCTTTATTTACTTATTTTTAAAATTTATTTAGTTGTAAACAAACACACAGTATCTTTCTTTATTTTTATATGGTGCTGTGGATCAAACCTAGTGCCTCACATATTCAAGGCAAGCGCTTTACCACTGAGCTACAGCCTCAACCCCATATTTACTTATTTTTTGGTACTAAGATATAGCCCAGGGGTACTTTACCATTGAGCTACATTCCCAGCTCTTTTTAACTTTATTTTGAGACAGGGTCTCACTAAGTCCCTTAGGATGGTCTCAAATTTGGAATCTTCATGCCTCAGCCTCTCCTGAGTCACTGGGCTTACAGGAATGAGCCACCATGCCTGGCTAGATATGTATTTTTAAAAAAGATAACATTTTAAAGAGGTTTGGCAGCACTGGAAGTCAAAGGGTCGCCTTGGTGGTGTTACCACAGAGATGATTTGTTTATGATTCTGCATTCTTAGGTATCTAATATAGTAGCATGACCCATGTGTGGGGCCTGTTGCCCTTGAGCAGTCTCTCCTAGAAAAGGGATTGAGAGCCCAAGGAGACTCAGGAAGCCATGAGAAGGAGTTATTAAGTGTGCCTGGCTCACAGAGATGGGCACAGATATAGTGAAAATCAGGACACTGAATCAACCTCAGACTTGTTTCTGAGTTACAAGTGGTCAAGTCCTTGGAGTCTTGATTGATGTTTTTTCTGTGTCTCCTGCCAGTAAAGAAGAGGTGACACTGATTAGTCAGAGTGTAAATGGCTCCAATGAAAGATGGTACACAATTCAGGTTGGTGTTATTACCATTCCATTATATGATTATACTCCTAATATTACTAAACATTAACATTCTTTTTATGTTCCCTCACTTATAAGTACTAGAAGGAAGCAGAGTGGCTGGTTTTTGTATTTGGAACCCATCTAGAATATCACCTGGTGTCACCAAGCCATTTTCCTCACCTGAAGGCTTTTGCTTTGATTTCTGGAACTTGCCTAATAAAATTGGCTTGTATAGTCCATAATAGAGGCCTGGGATACAATGGGGGAATAATTAATTGGCATTCCAGCTATAACAGGAGGCTTTCAGAATGGGTCCAGAAAGAGTTCTGTAAGTGAACTTTTTTTCTGAGGAAAAAAGGAAGTGCTGAAATCCCTAAATGTCATCTTCTCCTATTTTATTGACATAGGAAAAATTTTTGGTTCAGAAAGAGATGCAGAAGACTCATAAGTTGGATCCTTTAATGTCTCGTGTATGTTGTGGGAGCTCAGTGCAGATGCTTAGTATAGTTCTGTCATCTCTTTTTGCTGACATCTATTTCCCCATCTTGTGAAAAACTCTCCTAAATCTGCGTACTCCTCTTTTCTTGAGTTCCTCAGTGTTCCTAAATTATGGATTCAGCATCCTTCTGGTCATTGCTGTCTCGCAACCCAGGCAACCTAGAAGCATTATGAACTTCTGTTATGTGTTGGGTCTGTGTTTTCAACATAGGGTTGCACATTAGTAAGTTTACATTTTCTCTATTTGGAAAGCTTATTTCATCAAGGTTTCTCTTCTAGGCATGGAGCCTCTTTCCTTTTTCAGATTGTATTTCTTTGGCCCATATTCTTCACCCATATCCTTTGACAATTCGTAGATCAGAGATCCAGCTTCGTTTCCATGTGCATTCACCTGTTTGGGAGTGCCCTACATTTAAGTGATCTAGATGGTTTCTGCATAAAACAGTTTTAAACATAAATATTATTAATAATAGGGTTGAGGTTATGGGTCAGTGGTGGAGCGCTTGCCTAGCACATGTGAGGCACTGGGTTCGATTCTTAGCACCACATAAAAAGTAAGTAAAATACAGATAGCTCCATCTAAAGCTGAAAAATACTTTTTAAATATTATTAATAATATTAGCCAATATATATATGTATAACACTTTTGTTTGCCACATACATGAAGTCATTTAATCCTCACAAAACTCTACTGAGCCAGGTGTGGGTAGCACACGCCTGTAACCCCAGCTTCATGAAGCTTGAGTCAGGAAGATTGTAAGTTCGAGACTAGCCTCAGACCCTGTTTCAAAATAAAATAAAATTTCTATCCATTTGTGTTTTAGTTTGTCAGGATGAACCGAACTGCTCTGTATAACCATAAAGCTCTTAGTAAAAAAGTAAAAAGAAGGGCTGGAGTTGTGGTTCAGTGGTAGAACGCTTGCCTAGCATGCATGAGGCACTAGGTTCAATCCCCAACACCACATTTTTTTAAAAAACTAAATAAAAAAATGAGCAAAGGATTTGAATAGTTACTTCCTTTTTTTCACATGTGATGCTAGGGGTTGAACCCAGGGCCTTATACATGCAAGGCAAGCGCTCTACCAACTGAGCTATATTCCCAGCCCTTCAATAGTTATTTCTTTAAAAAAAAAATGTAAAAAGAAAAATACTGTAAGATAGCTCAGTAATAGAATGCTTGCCTAGCATTTGGAGGGGCCTGGTTTCAATCCC